ATTCAAACCATAACTCTTCTTTGCAAGCTTCCGTAATGGCAATAAATTCAGTTTCGGTTAGTTGAAAGAGCAACACATTTTTGTAATTTAGATTGCCATGCCACAGCTCCCCTTGTAAAAGTCATTAAATACCTCGAAGTAGATTTTCTAGAATTAACATCACCGACCATGTCAGAATCTGTGAACCCATCAAGCATGGGCTTACCATTCCCAAAACATAATCACACCTTCGAAATCCCTCAAAGATACCTTAGAAATCATTTCACCGCTGCCCAATGTTCTTTACTCGGATTTAAGAGAAAACGACTCATCACAGTAACGGAGTGAGCAATATCCGGCCTTTTACAAACTATGGCGTACATCAAAGAACCAACCACTGAAGTATAACGAAATTTCAGCATCTCTTCCTTGTCTTTCTTACTTGGATATTGATTCGAACTAAACTTGAAGTGACTCGCAAAAGTGGACAACTAACCGGTTTTTCTTTATCCATGTTGAACCTCTCAAGCACTTTCTCAATGTAATTTTCTTGAGACAACCTAATCCTTTTTGCGATCACGAACAATTTTCATACTAAGTATTTGCTTTTCCGGTCTCAAATCTTCATAACAAAAGACTTGTTCAACTCTAACTTCAACTTGTTAATCATGGTAGAATCTTGACCCACAATTAACATGTCATCAACATAAAGCAAAAGAACAATAAATTTGCCATTCGGAGAATTTTTCACAAACACACAATGATCCGAAGTGGTTTTAAAAAAATCATTATTCATCATAAAAAAGTCAAATTTTTTGTACCGTAGTCGTAATCTTCTCTCTTTTTGAAGAAATTTTTGCAAGAGTTGGGTTTGAATCAAGAAAGGTATGTGCTTTATTGTGATAGTCAAAATGCTATTCATTTGAGTAAAAATTTCACTTTTCATTTGAGATCGAAACACATTGATTTAAGATATCATTGAATTCGTGATGTGTTAGATTCGAAATTGTTACAACTCAAAAAAGTTACTACTCGAAAAAGTTTACACGGATGACAATATTTTGAATATGTTGACTAAGACTTTGTCGAAGGACAAACATTTGAAATATCGAACTTTGGCAGGTATGGTTGATGTCTTCACCTAGGTCGGTAGGGGGAAAATTGTTGGGTATACATCTTTAATGGAGTATGGGACTCAATTGGTTTATTAAAAGTATTTAATTTGGTTTGGTGTTAGTTATAATATATTTTAGGAAAAATTAGTCTAATGTCCCTCTCCTATTTTTAGTAATGAAAAAAATCCACAATATTATTTTGTAATGTCTAAAGTCCCACAACTCCCGACATCCACATATTACAGAGAAATTTGATCATCTCAAATCAAACTAGCCTCTCTCTCTACTCTTCTTTCTCTGACAAACTCCACCTCCATCGCCGGAGTTCATTGTCGTCGTCGTCTTCTTCTCTAACTCTCTCTCCATCGTTAAGTGAAGCTCAAAGCATCGTTATTCATGGACGATTTCACCGATATCGGAATCGAAGCGTACAGTGACGAGAAGCTCCAAAACATTTCGTCCGAATCATTATTCTGTACTTGGCCATCATCGAAGTTGAGAGCGTAACTGAGAGGATCATACCGGAATTTCTCTTGCCTTGCTCCTCTTTCGCCACTCTTGCTCCGATTGAACCGTCGTATGAAGGTCTTTCACCGTGGCCCGGTGACGATTTCTGACCACTCTTGAAGTTTCTTTAGAGCTTTGATCCCCCGATCTCATCACCTCTCATCCTCCTCCTTCTCCGTCCTTGTTCTCTACCACCACTGCATTCTTACTGCCGCCGATCTGTTCGAACCACCAAAACATGAGATGTAGAAGCATAATCGCCTCATCGGGAATAACATTTCGGCTATTTTTTCATTCAATTCTACATCTTTGTGAGAGAATTCAAGGCCTTCATTAGCCATATATATATATGTGTGTGTAATTCTCTCAATAAGAGAAATAGAGACAAAAACGAGCCTCGAAGTAAAAAATCACAAAAAATGGAATTTCTCTGGATGGGGAGGAAAATTTCTCTGGATGGGGAGGAAAATTTCTTTGGTTTTGATTGAATTTCTCTAGGTTGGAGAGGGGAATTTCTTTGGTTTGGAGAGAATTTCTCTCGGTTGAAGTGACAAGAGAAATTCTTGGTGAGATTCTTTCTGTGAAGTCCAGATAAATTCTCTGGATCAATTTGAGAGACTTTAGACATTATTAAAATATTGAATATTATTTATACTATAAAATCTTAATACGAGAGATTCTAAAAAAAAACTCCTATATTTTATATATTATATATAATTTTTGAAGGCCCAATGAATATTTAAAATCTATTTAGGTGGTGTTTGGGAAGCAAGCTGGGGGCTAAATTAGCCACATAAGGACAAAAATGGCTTATTTAGCCAAAAAAGGACAAAAGATGCACAGGAAAGAGGCAACAACACTAGACAAGCAAAATTTATGAAACTACCCACATGAAAGAGGGGCATGCGTCATTTCACACAAAAAGTAAAAAAAAAAAAAATTATTTAAATTTAGTTTCAAGTTATGTGTTTGGTTATGAGTTTTAAAAATAAATTATTACTTGTGTTTTATTTTATGTGTTTGGTTATGATTTGAGTGTAAAGTTGTTTTTAAATTTAAAATATTAACATTTTTAATATTTTAAATTAATTGAATATTTAAATTATTTAAATTTTTTTGTTTTAAATATTACTTTATTTAAATATTATTTTTATTTTATGATTAATTGAATATTTACATTATTTAAATATTTAAAATAAAATTAAAAGTAAAATAAAAATTAAAACGCAAATTAATGTGAGTGAATAAAAAAATGACAAAATCGTAAATTTTAAAAAAATAATGACAAAAATACGCCTCATTCAAAATATTTAAAAAAAAAACATAAAAACATAAATTACCATTCGCCACGTAATTTACAAATAAATAAATAAATAAGTTATTGTATACCAATAAAAATAAAGAAGGCAAAAAACGTAAATTAAAGAACAAGAACTAATTAATGTATAAAAAAAAAGAGACAAAAACATAAATTTAAAAAAAAAAATTAAGCAAAATATGCCAAATCCAAACCAAAAATAAAATAAAAAAAAACAAAAAAAAAATGTACACAAAATACACCAAATCCAAACCCAAAATTAAAAAATTAAAAAATTAAAAAAATTTAAGCAAAATATGCCAAATCCAAACCAAAAATAAAAACTTAAAAAAAAAAATTAAGCAAAATATGCCAAATCCAAATCCAAAATAAAAAATAAATAAATAAATAAAAAACATTTAAGCAAAATTTGCCAAATCCAAACCCAAAATAAAAAAAATAAAAAAAAAGCCAAAAAGGGCATATTGGTAATTTAATAGGAAGACACCTCATCAAAAAGTCAAAAAACTAAAAAGTTAAAAAAGTCAAAAAATTCTTCCCAAACCAAACTTTTTAGCTCCAAGTTAAAATAGTCAAAAAAACAAAAAAGTTAAAAAGTCAACCCACTCCTCAAACGGAGGTTTAGGATTGGTTTGGGATGTTCTAAAAAAAATGTACGTTTTGACTTATTGACTTATATGGATTAAATTTGATATGATGTGTTAGAGAGCTGATATAATTTAAATAAAATGATGTAATTTAAATAGAATAGTGACTTTTTAACCTTTTTTTTTTTTTTTTTTTAAATTATGCCTAAATTATGCCAAACTAATAATTTGTTAGTATTATTGTTTACCTTAGAACGGCGGCTGCTATAATGTTTTAGTTTTTACGATGTGGCTGCGTGTGTATTGCTTGGGTAAATAACAATACTTAGCAATAACAGTTCAGTGCTTGGAAGACTGGGCTTCTATTTTTGTCTCTTATTGTCTCTATTTCGAAGTTAATTTCTTCATCAATTTGGTGAGATATATTTTTTTTATTATTTTATAATTATGTATAATTTATTTAAAGATAATTTTAAGAAATTATTCGTGTGCTGTTTATAATTATTTAAAAATTATTAATTGATAATAGAATTAGATTTCAATCTCATAAACATGTCGCACATTAAAAAAAAAAAAAAAAAACTATGTAAAAACTCTTATATCATTATTAATTTAATTTTTTACATTAATTTTTATTTTCATTAAATGATTTATTAGTGGGAAAAGTATTTTCCCTAACAGTTCTCTCTCTAGCATTTCGCTTTTTAGCAGTCTACTCCAATTTCTTCCTAGCGATCAGTCGTCGGTGATGTCAAGCTCACAGCCGCCTCCGACGCCGTCGTCGTCTCTCAGCCATGATGTTGAGCGGAAGCTGATCCTGCAATCTCCTCCTCCAGCGGCGGCGCAGTCCTCATCGTCCGTACAACAACCGATCCAACCTACGCCGTCCGTACAGAAACCGGCTCAGCCGCCGTCGTCTACGAAGTCTCTCCGGCCGCCGGCGAGGCCCGGTTACGGAACTGTCGGCCGGTGCATTGTTCGTGCGAATCATTTTCTCGTCGTTTTTGCTGATAGTGATCTCCACCACTATGACGTGAGAATCTCATCCGAATTTTATCTATATATATATATGTATCTGTTATCTGCTGTGTATATGTTGATTTCATACATGTTGATCGAGTGATTAAATATTTATTTTTATTTCTATGCGTTTTTCTCTTCTTGTTTTCCTAGAGATTAATGGTTTGATCGGTTTTGTTCTATTTGTATGCTCTGATAATTACAGATTTTGATCTATATATTTATTTTTTTGTGTTCCTTTTTGTAACAGATTAACTATTTGTTTTTTTGTATTTTTTTTTGGTTTGGGTTCGAATATTATTATTTGTCGCTCACTGTGCATTTTTTATTTGATTATTTTGCGTGGCGTTTTCATCTTCTATACATTCGCTCCGAATGTAGAAAATGTGTAATGACCATGAGAATGTATGGAGATAGCACTGTTGATAAGAATGTATATAACACAATTAGATAGCATTATTGATATGAATGTATATAACACTATTGGTTATGCATTCTACTAAAATTTCTTTCTGATTGTATATGGTTATGAACAAGGATTGGGCTCCAGTAGGTGGTGGCGCCATGCTTGCTCTCTGTTTTATAATATGCTTTGGGCATGTTGATTACTAGGATTATAGCATAGGATTGAGATTGTTAGTCTATGGACTAGCAATCAGGCAGACATTCAATCTGATAAAATTGGCGAATTTTTAATGTTGAGAGGGATTAGGATAATAATTTCAAATATGAAAGAAAAAAAAACGAAATGAATACAAAATAAATAGTTATCGATAACTAATCCTATACTAATTCGCAGGAGTATTAATCCTTTCAATATTAATTCTGTCAATCAAATAAGGACTTTGTGTATGTGTACCATCATGTATAACATATGCCTGTCTGTAGGCACAAGCCTTATCGGAACATGTTAATCCGATTTTGTTTTGTGGCTGATAGGGTTAATACTTGAATTTTGTGGCCAATCAAATGTATCGAGTCTTTGGTTTCCAGTTTGCTTTGGGTTGCATTATAATTGGTTTCTTTCTAGTTAGTTTCTTTGGTGGTTATTCTACAATTGTAATTATACAATTCCAATTGATGGTTTAGGTGACGATCACACCTGAAGTTACCTCAAAGAAAGTCTGCAGGGAAATAGTGAATGAGCTGATTGCATCATATCAGGATTCTCACTTGGGCAAACGATGTCCAGCTTATGATGGCAGGAAAAGTTTGTACACAGCAGGGCCGTTGCCTTTTGTCTCTCAGGACTTTGTCGTGAAGCTGGTTGAAAAAGAGACTACCTCAAGGTGATTCCCTTTCTTTCCTTCAGAATCTACTGCTATTGGTGGATGCATGCACACAATTATAGTGGATTATACAACTATTCTTGAAATGTAGACAAAAGGTTAAGGCTTACTGTGTATTTGCTAATTTATTATTGATTTTGTTTAATTTTCTATGTCCGATTGCAGAGGGGTCCTTGATTGTTTTATGGTGACTGAAGATAATAAACATAATTCTCTTTTTTTTTTCTCTCTCTCTAAGATAATAAACATAATTCTCTCTCTCTCTCTCCCCCCCCGGCAGCCAAAGTTCTGTGAGTTGTTGGGCTCCTAAAAGTGTCTAGAAGTGTTGAGACAATGAATCTATTGTCCATTTTTCAGCAGTGTCCAGCAAACTGTTTTCAATCTGATGAAGTATTTTACATCTGTTAGTCAAATTTGCAATTTATGTATTTATCTGTTTTTGAAAGTTACCCTCGTGGTTCAATTAATATTTAATGTCCTGTTTGTTTTAATTGCAGGAGAGAACGTGAGTTCAGGGCGGCAATCAAATTTGCTGCCAAAGCTGACCTATGCAGTGAACAACTTGATGTCCCCCAAGAAACTATACCAGTTCTTGATGTAGTTCTTAGATCAACTCCAAATAAGTGAGTCTCATCTGACCTAAAAACAATTTAGCAAATGCCCTACCAAGCTGCACATCTTCATGCTTGGGTCTACCCTTACCTATTTCGTTACCTATGCCTTCACATCTCATTCAAAAGCAGCAGGCAGCATGTATATGAGCGAAAATAGGAAGCAAAGGTTACCTGGGGAGATGTGAAATATATATAGTAATTTTTTATCTATTTTCCTCTACATATCAATTTATGTAGGTTAAGGAGTATGGTGGCTCCGCTAAACTGCGTAAACTCTTGATTGCAGTTATGCTGTTGTGGGAAGGTCATTCTTCCCTCCCAAATTGGGTGATACAGGTGATCTTGGGGATGGTTTAGAATATTGGAAAGGTTACTATCAAAGCCTTCGCCCAACACAAATGGGTCTTTCCCTTAATATTGGTATGAATTTCTTTAATTGTTGGCCTTCATTTCTTTGCAATTTTTTTCATTTAGAGCAGTAGTTTTGCTATTGACATGCACCATTGAGATTATGTTGCTTCCTTGCCTTGTAGATATCTCAGCAACAGCATTCTATGAACCCGTTCTAGTTTCTGACTTTGTTGCAAGATATTGCAATGTTAGAGATTTAAGAAGGCCTTTGTCTGATCAAGATCGCCTTAAGGTATTATCTCTAACTTTCTAGTGCAGCATACAATTAATTGCTCATTTATATTTTCTGTGAAGGAAAATGCCAGTAGTAAATTTTGCCAAAAATGAGGTTTTTGCATGTTATGTTGTCATGATAAAATATAAAGGTCTAGTGAAATTTTTATGGAGTTTGTTTTCCATTACCCAACTCGTCAATAATTTTCTCCTATATAACTTTGGTCAATACGTATTGTTAGAATGTCACTATCACCTACTTCACCCACTTAAACCTACTCCACTAACCTAACCCACTACACCACTACCAACCGTCACCTGACTCCACTAAACCTAACCCCACTACACCACTACCGACCTCCACTTCACCTACTCTTCACCTACTACACACTCACCCTCTGTCTATATATAGGGAAATCATGAATCCATTGTAATGATATCAAAACATCAATCAATAATACATACATTTAACATGGTATCAGAGCAAGGTTGAAATTAGTGATTCCGGCTTCACCGGCGGACGGCAGCCTCGCCTTGGCCGTCCGCCGGACAAACCCACAATTTCTTTATCTTCTTCTCCTTCCTCAACAAACTATTCGTCACCACAACCCGTGAAGCAACAGTCCAGATTCATCCAAAACCCATCTCAGTCTACGTTATCCAAAGCCCATCTGAAAGCCTTTACTGCGTCATGCACATAACTAGTAGCATTTGCATTTGCTCTCTCAGTCCACTTCTTTCAATACAATGTCAGATTTGCAGGCCCCACACGGCCCAAAGAGGAAGAAGATTTGGGTGGACTAATTTTGCTCCAGTTCCCGGATGGATTTTGTATCTTTGTTGTCCTCCCTATCTTCCTTTCACAATTGTACTTCATACCATCACTTGGGGACGCCAGATCCTGAGTGCAAGTCCTTCAAAGCACGTCAGGACAGGACATGATGAAAATGTCAAGAAAGTAGAGAAACGCCTCAAACAGAGGAATCCATCCAAGGACGGCCTTGCTGCACAGCTCGGAAACCCGGATTGCTGTTGGAATGCGCAATGTGGACACAACGCTCTCGGCATTTTTAGGTTGATCTCTCTTGCATTCCGAAATATACTCGCAAATCGATTAGAGAGAGAATGATTGCCGGTGAGCCTCTGGTCACATGGGGAGATAACCAGGGTTACTGTCCCGATGATCTTGCCCTTGCAGTTGTTGCTGAACTTGATGACTGACTCGTTGGCGGCTCAAAAAAATCAATATGGCTAACGTATATTGAAGGAAGTTCCCATATCTATGGCCTCTGTTTGCTGATACGGTCGTGTGGCCTATGAGAATTGGTTTTAAGCTGATGGGCAGGTGTTAGAGCTACAAAGGACAATGAATATTTGTGTCTTTTATGCTTTCCCGGTGGTCTCAGGGGAACACTGGGGCTTCTTTGTTTCTGCTGAGATGCAAGCTTATTCCAATTCAGAAAGAATTTTGCAAGAAGGCTTAAAGCTGAAATTCCTGATGTGAATCTTCATCGAGTGGTGGGCTTTCACAAAAACATGCTTTTTTCTCTCTCCCACTTTTCTTTTCCACCACCACCACCACACCATCCCTTCTTTTCTTCTTTCTTATTCTCCCACTCACAAAACATTATTCATCACCTTTTTGCACCTCACCCGTTGCGTCCCTTTCTTCTTTTCTTTTATTTTCTTTATTTATTTTATTTATTTTATTATTAAAAAAAAAAAAAAAAACACGGAGGAGAAGACGAACTGCAAAACTCATTTTATTCATATCGGGCCTCACCCCGATCACCATTTTACAAAAACAAAAAAAAAAAAAAAAAAAAAAAAAAAAATACAAAAAAACAACCACACCCACAGTGGGATTTTTCTTTTCTTCTCTATTCTACTGCAGAGGTCTCTTCTTCTTTACTTTTATCTTGGGCGTCCCGTGCCATCCGGTTCTCCGTGTTTCCTTGTCCACCGAGCACGTTCATGCCCCATACTCCTCCACTCAAGCATATGGAGGACCTTCCAAATCGGCAAGACATAACGGTGGCCTTCCGCTTCAGCTCCTTGTTTTCTGCCCTTAGCACGCTTATCTCTCTCTCGCGCATCCTTATAGATGCGTTGGAGCGAGGCCAGCTGGGAGTTTAACTGCTGCACCTCATTTGCCCTAACTTTGCAGCGCGGTTCGACAACGTTGTGAGCCGCCGTCATGCTTTCCACACATGCCTGTCAACGTATACTGATTGGCCTCCACATCCGACACACTTTTGCCATTACTTTGCTCCACAGACACGCCATCGGAAAAAGTTCAACGGAAGCAAACTCCGGGGCCACTTGGTTGAAGGTTCCAGTGCCAACCGCTCCAGTATCTCTCTTTTGACTCGTTGAGGTCGGGAAGAGGGTGGCAGACCGGCGGGAAGACGAAGCCATTTTTCTGGGCAACAGAACAGTGTTACAGAAATATCTCTCGCAACAGAGTGTTACAGACTCTCTCTCTCAGCACAACGAAGAGTTTTTCAGACTCTCTCTCTCAGCACAACGAAGTTTTTTTTCAGAGGTTTTTCGCAGCTTTTCTCTGCCTCAGCCTCAGCATCAACCTTGGTTAAATAGCCAAGGCAGCCACGCGCATCGCGCGCCTCTTGCCACCAGCCGACAAACGGGCACGCAAGCCAAGGCGCCCACGTGCCTCGCCATCATGTCCGGCACACCTTTTGATGAATTGGGCACGCCTTTGATGGCACGCCTTTTATGGATTGGGCACGCCTTTTGATGGCACGCCTTTTGAAAAATTGGGCGCACCTTTTGAGGATGCGATTTTTTAAGGGGTCCGACAAGACTCTGTAAACTGTCCCGACATTGATTCCAGGTTAGCTCCTTTATGGGTCCGGCAAGACTCTGTAAACTGTCCCGACAATAGATCCGGTTAGTTTCTACAAGGGTCCGACAAGACTCCGTAAACTGTCTTCTACAACGGTCCGACATGACCTAAAACTGTCTTCTACAACGGTCCGACATAACCCCATAAACTGTCTTCTACAACGGTCCGGCATGACTCCATAAACTGTCTTCTACAACGGTCCGACATGACCCCATAAACTGTCTTCTACAACGGTCCGACACCACCATCCAGTGTCCTCTACACGTTATGACACCCCCATACAGTGTCATTCTACAGTTATGACACACCTCCAGTGTTTTACCAATGGTCTGACACGACCATACAGTGTCTCCTATCCTTTATTATTTTATGTATATTTCCTGTTTTGTTCCTCTCCTCCAAACTCGTTGGTTAGTTCTATCCTCCTTGAGTTGGGGGCTGTTAGAATGTCACATCACCTACTTCACCCACTTAAACCTACTCCACTAAACCTAACCCACTACACCACTACACCTCACCTACTCCAACTAAACCTAACGCCATAACACCACTACCACCTCCACTTCACCTACTCTTCACCTACTACACACTTCACCCTCTCTAATATATTAGAATCATGAATCATGTAATAGATACAAAAACATCAATCAATATACATACATTTTTAACACGTATTAATCTGCTTTTGTCGTTTTCATTAATTATATTTCCTTGGCTACAATTACCCAACAATTGACCTATGAAAGTATGGTTATTTCGAAAATATGTCCATATCACCCGTTACGGATACTTGCCGGCGTAAGCTATCTCATATGAATACTTCTACATACGTACCAAGTATAGTATCCAAAATTTTCTTCTTAATTTTGTACATATCCAAACTCTACCTAGTAGTATACTCAAACCGTATAGTACCGTACCTAAGTTTGAAACCAATATTTCTTCTACTATAGGATAAAACTCCTTTCACTAGTTTCTTTTTTATTTTTAGTTTTATGTTTTAGGGCAGGTTTGGTATACCCATAAAAAATCTAAAAAGCTAAAAAGTTACTGAAAAAGTTAAAAAATTATCACTATTCAAAAAAAATATATATAAAAAATTAAATTTTATACAAAATATTACAAAAACGACTCTGGCGTCGCCACAGACACAGAGGCTGACTTTTTGGAAAAAATTGCACAGGCGGGGTGCACAAAACAACACGGTGCTGTTCGGTCTGTAGGGACCCATCACGGGTCCCGTTTTGATAATCTGAACCGCTAATGTTTAGAACTTATCGAGTTACTACATGCTTGTAAAAAATCACTTTGATCGGGATATCGCTAACTATATGATCAAATCAGTTTTGTATAAAAATGGATGTGTTATAGTTAATGGTTGAAAAAAAACTAATCCGATACAACGTGATTTTTTACACATATACAGTATTCGACGAGTTTTACACATCAACAGTTTCGATTAGCAAAACGGGACCCGTGGATGGGCCCCCACAGGCCGAACAGCACCGTCAATTCAATTCCGAAAGGAAGGAACCATTCTCCTAAGCTTATACGACATCCCATCGTACTGCCTATTCTATCTCAATCTTCTCCTATACACTAATTTATACAATTTTTTAATTACACATTTTTTCATAAGAAAGGTCAAAAGTATCACACAACAACGCATATTCTTTTTCCTCAACTTTCTTAGTCCAAAAGTTCAAAAAATGCACTTATTTTAGGAATCCCCAAACAACCCCTTATAAGATTTTAAAATTAAACTTGATTTGTAAGTTATTTAATATATTGACATTTAATTTGATTTATACTTTTATTTTGGTTTAAATGTTAATATAGGTTGGATTTAATAAATTAAACCATTTAATTAATTTTTGCATTACTTGCTAAATTAAAAATAAATATTTTTTTACAAAGCTACCAAGCTGTACTCGTACTTTACTTTTTTTATTTTTACCGTATCGAAGTACCAATAGTTGTACAGTATCAGTACCTGTACCCGTACTATGCTTCATAGCAGTTTGACCCATGTGAACCCTTGTTTTTTGTGATTCCGGTTAAAAAGCTCTTAAAAATGGTTAGGTAGAACCTCATTCATAGCGAGGATTGTTAAACAGCACAAAATATCAGGTGTATCGGTGCAACCAACAAGTCAATTAACGTGAGCTACTTAATCTTTCCTTCTTCTTTACCTGAGTGAGTTTGGTGTGTGGGTTTATCTTCACCTGTAGCAGCAGGGGGAGAAGCTCCACTAAGGCAACATAAAGTTAGAAAATGGGTAGAAGGATAAACATAAATGAGATGAAGCACAAAATTGGTGGATGTTTGTGTGTTTGTGATACATCTGAAAAGTCATAATCTTAGTGGTGGGCAACTGGGAAGTAATCTTGGCCTTACTCATGACATGGGAATCTTCAATTCTAAATCATAACAACCTTTATGATTAAGTTTCTTTCTTTCAGTGGGGAACGCGTTTTACAGGAGTTTTAGAAGCAATACAAAAAATATTAATGATGCATTTTAAACTGCAGAGCTAGATCATTGTACCAGTTATGCCCTTTTCTTGCCAAAATATTTCTGAGCTACATATATTGTGCCAATTTTTTTGAATTTTTGTTAAATATTTAATTTTAGGGTGGTTTTTTTAAGTAACCCTGAGGAGAGTGTTAAAGATGGAAGGTAATGGATAACGAATTGTTTTTTGGGATTCTTTACATAAGATTTTCAATCACCTAATGTTTCTCTTTAAATTATGGGGTTAAAAGGCAATCGAACTATTTATTAAATTGAAATTTTTTTTTCCTTTGGTTTGTGTTTTTGGTGGTGCGTCATCTTTTGTTAGCTTTTTTTTCTAATTCCTATTATTTAGGCAGTATGTTTGCTTAGGCTAGGACTTTGTTTGATAGTTAAGTGAATTGCTTTTTTCTAGTGCCTATTATTTAGGCAGTATACACGAGTTGTTTTTTGTTTCTTATTTAATTTATGTATTGGATGGATAACAAACCAGAAGGGGAAAATGATATTGTAATTCCATCAATTCACTTTGGATTGGCTATCTCATTTAAACTGGTGGCATTTTTATCATTTATTTGATTTTGTCTTTTTTTCTGATTTTTATTACTTATTTTGGGGAAAAAATTTATTTTACCACCATCATGATTTTTGAGGCTTGGACATTTTAAGCCCCATGTGGTTTTGGACTAAGGTTCCACGTTAGTTTTTCCATCCAAGCTAAAGTTTCCCCAATCACACACCATTTTTGAGAGTGGTTTTTGGTTTCTAAAAAAATTAATGTGAAATTAATACAACAGAAAGGCAATTTTACTCCCATCTTCTCCAAACCAAAAAATTTGATTAAGATGTTAATTAAAATAAAATAAATTAAAAAATATAATTAGGATTGATCTAAAATAATTAAAATTAAATTAAAATCAGATTAAGATGTTAGGAATTGCAATAAATCATGAAGATTTAGGATTAATTGTGGTCTAAACATAAAATAAACTTAAATTATATTAAGAACTTAGGAGTTATAAATAAATAATTAAGGATTTATGGTTAATTGTGATTAAATTGAATTAATGTTAGGAAATTATAAAGTATGAATATGATAGAGGAGAAGAAATAAAATAACAAAAAAAGCTTAAGGCTTCGGGTATTATAGTCATTTCACATCTGTAGTTAACGAAGTTAATAGTTGTACTTTGGTCCAAAATCACATGGGGGCTTTGGCCATATTTGAAACATAAGGGGGTAAAGTGCGTAGGCCTCAAACCAAAAGGAGGTGAAATGAATTTTGCACTATTTTTTGTTGTGATGTTTACAATTTTTTTTGGGGTTGATGTGCACTTCCTTTTTAAATAGGTTCACTTTTTGGTGATACACGTACACAAACGTCAGTTGTGAAATACTTTTCAACGAGAAATATGACACCACCCTTAACTTCACGGCCCTGCCTGCGCTTCAAGCTAGCAGTGATCCACGCCTATCTACCTACCGATGGAGGTTTCCTCAATTTATGAACAATCTAAAGTTTTGTTTCATTTGAGTCATTGTTGCTTCTTCTTGTAGTATCATCAACTTGCATTGGCTTTCTCTTTTTACAGCTTTGTAAGATTGTACCAGGGCAAAGATATTCAAAAGACTGAATGATAGGGCAGGTGAGTGCTTTGCTAAAGGCAACCTGTCAACGTCCTAATGATAGAGAACGGAGCATTAAGCAGGTATATATATGTTCACATCATCTTTAGTTTGTTTTCAGAATTCTTAAATGGTTTTTGAACTTCATGGTAAATATTTTTTTGTTTATGTTGGCTCAAAAACATTGGGAAATTGTTTCCTTCTATTCGTGTTGATATCACCTTCTCTAGATGAGGTTTACCTTTGCAGATGGTTAGGCATACACTACAACACTGTAAGTTTGTCAATGAATTTGGGCTTCGAGTAAGGAACTGAACTTACACCCGTTATTGCTCGTGTACTTCCAGTCCAATGGCACTTTATAATCTTTTTAATTTGTGTTATGCAATGGATGAATCATTGCACCATTTCTTGTAAGTTTTGACTTTGAAATGTATGTTGGTTGATGAAGCTTCAATATCAGGAATACACAAGAGACTCCATGGGTGGGGGCTTGGAACATATAGACAAGGTAATGAATATATTAACTAGTTAATAAACGATTTGCTTTGATTCCCCCCGCCCTCTTTTTGGTTAAGGTATGACATCTCATACCACAACTTCGAGTGGGTTGGATGCAGTGTAATTCCATGATCTGGATTTTGCATTGTACTGTGTGTTGCCAAAAAAAAAAGGCAAAAGTAAATAAGGGAATGTTTTCACTTTTGGTGGTTTGATTTTATATTTGCTCTGGTGCAAGTAGTTATGAATTTGTGATCTTCTAAGAGTTCTGGTAGTTTCTCACTCCGAGTGTTTTAGAACTTGAACAAAAGATTGGATGTCCCTTCATAATTTTGGTTGTGTAGAAAATGGTTAATGGTGGCAAGGTGAAGTTCTGGACATGTGGTCAGCTTTCGCGGATAAGACGAGGGAGGTTTTTAGATTCTGGTGAAGAATTTGGTTAACATGTGGCCAGAGTAAAGGGGGATAGGTATGGTTTTCTCACTTTGTTGTCTTTGTGATCAAACGGTAACATTATTTGAATCAAAAAAAAGGAATTTGACACTTGATCTTTTCAATAATTTTCTAAGGATTTCAATCCGATGCTTTACTTCCCATCCCGTTCAGCACATCCAGCTTAACACTTGAGAAGACTCTCCTTGAAATATCACCCCAACAGTCTAATGCAGCCAACTTGCCGAGCGCAGGGAAACTATCTCCAGTTTGTTGAATACATTATTTGCCGGATGCCAACTGGGATTAAATGGGTAAAGTCACGACTATGCTAGATTTTTAGAATTTGGTATCATGTCGTTACTCTCGCTTATGTGATTTTACTTCAACAGGAAGATTAAGCGGTTGTGTGAAACAGAGTTGGGATCAATATCCCAGTGTTGTCAGCCCAAGCAAGCATCGAAGTGGCCAAAAAGCAGTATCCTTGAAAATGTTGGCTCTAAAGATCAATGTGAAGGTTTGTTTTTGTTCCACATGCTTAAAATGTTTATGCTGAAGTTCTTTAGGTTCATAAATTTGGTAAATTTTCTTTTCTTTTTTTTTTCCCCTCATATTTGAAATATATTTTTTTGGCAGGCTGGGGGACGGAACAACGTGTTGTGAATGCTCTTAATAGGAAAATTCCCTATGTAACCGGATATGCCCACCAAATATTTGGTGCTGTGTGGTGCATCCTCAACCAGGATCAAATGCTCGCCCTCTATAGCCAAGCGATATGTTTTTCAGCAATCTTTTGCGATTTGTTGGTTTGCTTAATAATTTTGATCTAATTTTGCTATAATAATAGAACGAAAAACTTGAATATATAGGTGGTGGCATCTATGGAACTGGCCAGAGGTAACCCAGGTATAGGGATTAGTCTCTGAACAACTCATAGGGACGAAAAATTATTCAATGATCTCTATAAATTTTCAGGATCCTCAAAGAGGCATGGGTTCATAGCAGAAATGAAGGTAAAATTTTGCATAATTTTTCCGTACATTTGCTATTGTAAATGTAAGATTTTTCGTTGCCCATCAATTGTTTGGCCATTTTGCAGGGAACTCCTAATTGCGTTCAGGAAGATCGACTGGACAATAGATCTCAATAAGAATCATATTCTCAGGTGAATTCCTTGCATCTGAGTGGATGCCAAGTGACTAATCTCTTTGTTATGGAAAAATTATTGATGTTAGTTGTATTGCAGAGACAAGGTCCTGTGGAAGGTCAGTTCAAATAAGTTTTGACCATTGAGATGAATGTGCTATAAGAAAGGTATACATTTTAAGAACTCCAAATCCAATTTCTTGAACAATCATGTTTTTATTTTCTTTTCTTATACGGAACTCTTTTTTCCAGGCATGTGTTTTCATTGAGAAAAATTATCTACCGCCAGTTACCTTTTGTGGTAGTGCAGAAGATACACCACACTCGCCTCTTTCCTGCACAACCTAATGATTGCAATTCAACGGACAGGAGTGGCAAATTTTTCCAGGTTCAATATTTTGTTATCATTCAGCTAATGTGCGTGTTCATCGTTCCAAGGCATTCTATGCTCAATTGTGAACCTTTTGCTCTTTGGTTGGTGAGAGTACGTTGCTCATACAACGATTTGCCCACCCTACTGAATTTGATTTCTTCTTTGCAGCCAATGCGGGTATTCAAGTAAACTCACGTTACCTTTGTTTAGTTTTTGACGTCAGTCGTCGTGGAAGGAATAAACTGTCATTGTTGTTTGCTTTGTCTGAGCAGGGAACGAGCCGACCCTACCAACACTACCATGTGCTATATGATGAAACAGATTACCGCAGATGCTTTACAAATGCTGAACGAATGACTTGTGGTTACACGTTATTTTTTTTTTCTCTCTGGACTTTTATTTTGTCTTCTCGTGTGTTTACTTTTTTGTAGTACATATTTTGGCTGTTCCATTTTAACAAAAATGGTTTTTACCCTCGCCCCCAGGCCGTACGCAAGGTGTACTCGTTTCAGTCTCCATAGGTTGTCCTTTTTCCATTATAATGTTTTTTCAATCACCCATCATCGAGTATGTTAATTTTTTTGGTAAAAGTGTATTTTTGCCTGATGTACTTGCAATTATTATTAGGAAGTTGATTTAATTTATTAATAGAATGTTGATTTATATATAGCAGTCCCTCCTGCTATTATGCCTCATTTAGGCAAGCGTTTCGTGCACCGTTTGCCTATACAACCATTCAAGTAACTAGTTACCACAGTGAAAAAATATGGTGACATTTTTTTTAAATTTTTTTTTAAATTTTTTTATCTAGAATCCTCATTATTGTACCCTGTTTGTTTCTCAAGATTTTTAAAAACAGTTCTATGATTTTCTCAATTCAATATTTTTATATTTTTAATAATTTTAAATATTTTTAATCATTTTTTAAAAACTTTTAGATTCTTTTAATCTTAATATACTTAAAAAGTATAAAAATCTTTAAAAAATTCTCATTGAAATACAACAAAATACAAAAAAGTATTAAATTTTTCGTACCTTTTTTTGTATTTTTATTTTGGATGATTTTTTTTTTTTTTAACAAAATATTATACTTCTAATTTTATTTAGCATTAGTTGCATCTAAAATATTAAAAAAATTACGTAAATATTAAAAAAATTTACTAAAATTTAAAAAAAATACAAAAAATAAAAATACT